CTATTTATAATAAATCTTGTTACATAGCTGACAAGATTTCTAGTTGCTTTTGCACCCTAAATAGTGTGCACATCTGATTTGAGCCATAATGATTACTCTAGCTTTGTTCCTTCACTTAGAGGAGGCAGGTAGCCTAACTAAGAACTTAGCACTAATTCTGTATTTTTTAGGACTGGCATCTGACGGGCGCTTGTACAGATACCATCTAGAAGAATAGTTGGAAGCCTGCAATGTTGTTGCTGCCCCTCACTATTGAGAGTAGGCACTTTTTTCAGTCTTAAGTCCGAGATTAACTATCTCCTTTTTAATCCAGATGAAAAATGTTATCACTTGCTGTAGAAAGCATGAGTAAAAACGTAAGTTGTGTGACATGTATGTGTGAGGAAAATAGTATTTAATTTTAAATTTGGCAGTTTGGAATAAAGAGAGATTTGATCTTTTTAAGAAAACAGGAGCCAGATAAGTATGTTTGCAAGTTCTTTAGGGTACATCTGTTCATTAGCCATTAGGAAACAAAACATTTTAGTAGAATTCCTTATTTTTTGTGAAGGTCAGAGACTGAGAGAGTTACAAGAGTTGTGCAAGCAACTCTTAAGGAGGCTTTTTCCTCACCACACTGTCATTGCACTTCATCACCAACAGGTGAAAATAATTAACCATCTGATGGGTTTGTCTTGTCTAATTAGCAAAGTATGGAGTTACTTTGAGCCCACCAAACAGTTAAATTGCTTTTTTACAAAATGTCAGAGAACGACCTAATGTTGAGACAGGATTTCAGAAACTATGCTTTCTGCAACCAACTTTATTTCTCATTCCATTGGGAGGAAAAGTTCATCTGTGTTAAAGTCAAAAGACCACCTGGGCCACCCTGTCCCCCCAAGCTTTAAAATTTTACATGGATTTACTGCATGACAGCACAACATGTTACTGTCTTTCCTAGTATTGCAACAATGTTTTCTTCTTAATTGACAATGTGAAGTTTTGTGTCTGTCAAGTGGGCAATTCTTTTGGTGATTTTTCTAATAGAGGGCCATGTCATCCTGATCTTAATACTCTGATATTGAATAGGTTTTTGTAGTGTTTCACTTAAACTAGCATATTTTAAGAATAGCATCTCAAGCATTTCATGTTTGGCCTTGCTGATTACTTTTAGAAATCTGATTTTCTGGTTTTGCCCTGCATGCATATAATTTATTTTGTATTTGCTTGAGCAAAGATGAAGCATATCTTAGTAACTGTAGAAGTGAGAATGCATTACCTGATTCATTGTCAGTCATCTAACAATGGATGGTTTCTAGCTATTCCTGAAATGTAATTAAAGCATATACAAAACCCCAATTTTGGGCAATACCTGTATTAGTGTAAAGTAGTTTAATATTAAAAAAATCCCACATTTCAAAATGTATTGGTTTTAAATTTTAAGTGGAAAACCATAAGACCACCAAGTTTTACTGTGTTTGTCTGGTCCGTGGTAGCAAACCTTGCATTTCTGCAGAGCCCTCATATTTGCCAGAGTGGAGCGTCATTGCCCCGTGAAAGGATCTATCTGTTGCTGTGGTGTGCCAGTACTGTAGCAAAGAAAAAATTGTTTTGTCCGTACAGGAGACAGTAGATGCTGATCTTGGCTGAATTTGTGCCTAGAGAGAATGCAAGCAACTCTTGCCTTTTCCCTATTGTACTCCCTTTTATTTTTAATTTGAAAAGTTCTGGAGTAAAACTGCTACTTTAGTGGGAATTCTGTAGGTCAGCTATTCTTAAATGTCCCTTAAATGTATAACTGATGGTTAGTTGATCTTCATGCTTTGGTATTATAACTATTAGGCCTGATCCAGGAAAGCACTTAAATGTCTGTGTAACTATGTATATTAATAGTTTTTCTGGTTCTGGTGGGAATACAGACATGCATCTGTGCTGAAGTGCTTTGCTGGATCAGGTCCTGTACCTCCGCTGAAAGCCTTCTAGGGACATGATGGCATTGTCAACCTAGCTGTTATGACAAGTAGAGTCTTAAATTTTACTTTCTAATTAAAGGTTCCCAAGAGCAAGTTATGGTTGAAGAATTCCTGTGTTGACCTGTCCATGTGGTTGTCTTTTTTTGAAAGACGTATCAGAAGGAGATGTGGATAGGGAGAGATATTTGCTGTCAGCTGATATAAAATGCAACTTTTTATATGTGTTTTGCTTTGCCATTATGTGTAAGTAAAAGAAAATTCTTTAAAACATTGTATAGCTATTAAACAAGTTGAGTTTAGGAAAGCTTTCTGGAAGTCTGGTACCTGTATATACACATAAATGCTTTCAGAAGAAATATATAGTTTAAAATGTTTCCTAGTTGAGCTCAATACTACTTTCATTGATGTTTTGTTTCCCTTTTGTTTGTTAGGTGAGTGGTGATCGGTACCACTAGTATTTCAAAGAAATTAACATGAATTGCAGTTATAGGAAAACATTTCTACAGTAAGCTATACTTGTGCAAGTGATAACTGGTGCATTTACACTGATTAAGCTTTTGTGATTTTATTTTTTTTTTGCTGCTGTTTTTTGACAAGAAGGCATCTGTGATAGCCATTGAATTTGGAACTTCTCAGAGAAGCAGGCATATCAGATGTCACCAGCACAGAGCTCTCTGAACCTAGCTAGCAAATTGCCATTGTCAGTGTGTGATGAAATGGATAACAAAGGGTATGAAAAGTCTTGCATGACCGAGCAGTGAACTTCATGTTAACTGTGCATTTAGGAGAATGGATCTTGAAAGGTGAAATCTCTAATGCTGCATTTAATGGATAAACTTTGCAGTTGTGGTTTGAGGAGTCTGCATTGACAATAAATGTTAGGTCTACTATTTTGGCCTCAAGTCTCACTGTTTAGTCAAGTCCTTTTCTGAAATGCTGTGATGTCTTTTAACGCCCTGCAGATGTGGTAGTTTCTATTTAAATTAGGACTGCAAAGATCATCAAGAGACTGGAGTGCCTTTCATACGAGGAGAAGGAAAGAACTGGGAGTGTTCAGTCTGGAGAAGAGAAGGCTCAGGGATGTTATGAATGTGTGTAAATACCTGATGGGAGGGAATGAAGAAGAGAACAGGAGACTCTTCTCAGTAGTGTTCCCTGTCAGAACAGGGGCACAGACTAGAACACAGGAAATTCCGTCTGAGCACAGAAAAGGTTTTCAAACACTAGTATAGATTGTCCAGAGAGATTGTGAAGTCCATCCACGAAGTTATGCAAAGCACATGACCCTGGGCAACCTGCTCTAGCTGACCCTGTTTCAGCAGGGATCTTAGACAAGATTATGTCTGTCCTCAAGTGGTCTGTCCAACCTAAACAATCCTGTGATTCTGTAAAGGTGTTGAGATATATATATAGATATAGATATATAGATATAAAAAAGAGAGAGTGTATATATATAAAAAATATGTATATGATAATCAAGCTCACAGAATGGTTTAAGTTGGAAGGGATGTTAAAAATCATCTAGTTCCAACTCCCTTGCCATGGGTCAGGGATACCTCCCACTAGACCAGTTTCCTCAAAGCTCCATCCAATCTGATTTTATACATATGTGTGTGTATGTGTCTGTATAAAATCAGCTATTGACCACTGGAAATACTTCTGATATTCCTATTTGAACATAATGTATATATGTTGACCAAACCTCCATGCATATACATATTTACTCCTGTCTCCTGTCTGTTCTTTCTCTAACACTTTCTTGATTTGCTTAAAAATTAATTTCAATGTAAAATCAATTTTCAGACGTATCTCTTGAAATGACTAGTGCCAGCTGTGGGGGTGATTCTAGAGACAGCTGATAAAGGATGACAGTTTTCTCTGTCCCATCGCATTTTTCTCATTCTTGTGCAAGTGCATGTGGTAGGAAAAGCAGTTTTAGCAACAAGGCCTGCCCTTGATTTTTTGGTATTTTGGGTTTTTTGTTGGGTTTGCAAAGGCTTTTGATGTCTGAAAAGGCTTTTGCAGTATCTTGCAGTTCCTCCAGACACTCCTGTTCTTCATCAGTGTTTACTTCACTAGGTAGAATGTATGTTTGAAGAACTGTTAAACCAGCTAACGTGTTCTGTCTTTACTCAGGAGAAGAAAGTTTATGAATGTGATACTGGTAGAATAGAACTCTTTCAGTTGAGTATATCTGGATGGGAGCACAGCTGCACATGCTAAATGCAACCTGGTATCTGTAGAATTAGACCAAGACTGAGAATTGACATTTGCAAATAAGTATTTTTTCTGAGATTTCATTAAATAAAGGATTTATCAATAAGTATAGGCTTTAAAAATGCAGTCTTGATTCAACATTTGGATTTAGAAGGTCAAAGGTTCTTCCCATGTGTTCTTAATGGCACCAAAAATGTTAGAAATTGCTGGGTTGTTTTTTTTCCCCTAAATGAGGTTATCGTGATCATAGATTGCAAACTGATGTGTTTTGGTATGCAATTTATATTAGTTAAGCCCACAAAACATTTTCAGAAGGAACACTGAATTTTATGGTTGAATTATATAAATATATAATACGTAAGTAAATAATACGTACCTTAGGAAATACTGTATTAGATTAATAAGTCTGTGAACAGTTATTCCATTCTTTTTTGAATTTTGTTTCTACGTATCTGTGATTGAAGGTTATATTTCAGAATTTAATTTTAAATGTTACATGTGCATTTAGTACAGATACAATGGAAAAAAATACTGTACACAGTTCTATTTTTTAACTCTGTGGCCTAACATTTTAGATGTCAAGATTACAGTTTGAAATCTCTTTAGGTCTTTGCTTGAATTGTTCAATTAGAAGGTTTTAATTAATGTAAATTCCATGTCCCGTGTCTAACAGTGAAAAAGGACTCTGCTGTATTATTTATTATTTCCAGAGGAAAAAAAGATATTTAATATCTAGAAAATTTTAAAAATGGAAAAATTATCCAAAATAATTAAAAATTATTCTGATTTTTCAAAGAAAACCCCTAATTGTTCCATAATTCTGTTTTTCAGTTTCCATAGCTAGACGTGTCCAAGACCCATTAGCCGAGCTTGTGAAAATTGAGCCCAAACACATAGGAGTTGGAATGTATCAGGTAAGATAATACAAATCACTTGATCTAGGTTGACTATCATGATACAGAGCAGCATCAAAATGCTACTTTGTAATTGTCAACTAGTTATGTCTCCGTTAAAAGACATTTCTGGAGTTAATAGAATGGTAGTAAAAACTTAGAGAAGTTAAACTGCCTCTTTTTTTAATCTCTACTTTTAACGATTGAGATTGAGACTGAAATGGCTGTAACCAGATGTATAGTCTATTAAAAACATCAAATCAGACAGGTAACCTGATCTGTAAAGCTTTCTCTTTTTTTTGTATTGTTACAGCAATGAGGTTGTAGCTCTTTGTGTAAAATACAATGAAATATTGATCCTCCATTTAGAAGCCATTAATTTGCACTAGTAGGTGCATTCCTTCTTAGAAGTTTGTAATGAAAGCAGTTTGGTTTGAAGGTTTTCATTTGCTAAAGCTGAATTGGAAAATGTTTTACAGTTATTTTTATCCATTTTTGTAAGTTATTTCTGAGAATTAACTTTAACTTTCAAAGTATCTTTACAAAGTGAGTGGTATTGAGAAGTGGTACATAAGTTATTGTCATTTTATAGCATATTGGCATTGATTCAGGAAAGCATTTATGCATGTGCTTAAGTCCCACCAAATAGAGAAGTAAAAAAAAAAAAAAAAAGAAAGAAAATTCAGCACATGCTCTTGTCTGTGTTTTTGAAACTATAGAATATGAGTAAATTTGGAAGGCTGGAACAGAATCCGGAACAGAACCATCTGGGTGTATGCTTTGAGATTAGCACATAAAATTTAATGGGATAGAATTAGCAGCCTGGAATCCTTGACTGCTCGTGCTAAAGGTGTTGTGACAAACAAAGGTGCTATGAAAAACTTCGAAGTCTATATCCTATTTTTTTTTGTTTTTAAAGAACTGAGGTTAACATTTTAATTGATTAAGGTAGAGCTTAGTACTGCTTTTGCAAGCTCTTCTAATATTACCAGAGTATAAAATGTACTCATGTTGCTTGCTAGCTGCAAAACTCAGCAGTAAAACTAACTAGCAAACTTTTCAGGATGAACTATACCATAGTTTCTGAGGAAAAGTAGGTTGAAGGGCTGAAATACTGTAGATTTCTTTAACATATGTATCCAGAGTTCAGTAAAAATGTGCTTTAATGAGGGCAGCTATAAATCAGGGGATGGTCATCTGGCAAAAAGAGGAGCTTCAATTTGAAGCATAGTTGCTTCCCTTACTTGTGGAGACCTACTACTTCTATTTGTCACAGTAGCAGCACAGATTTTTGTTGCTCCTTGCTTTAAAGAAAAAAGCATTTAACAAAAAAATCTTGAAATGCTTAGTGCTTCAAGAAGATGTTTTTAAAAACATTTTTTTTAATGAATTAAATATTGAGTGTTTTACTATTTGAAATATACTGTGAATTCATAAGTATTAGGAGCTTGTATTGCTGTAGCTGATGGTATTGATTTACGTGCATAATATCTACTGTGGTCTATGTGCACATTGTACAAATATACAGCTAAAGCTAAAAGGCACAGGGTTGGTGGTGGTTGTATGGTTTTGGGAGCGGGATATTGTCACATGAATGTTGGAATGAACCTATTGCAGCAATTCACAGCTGCCGCTAAGACTGAAGTGGGCATCATTTACTTTGCACTGAAACAGAGCAGTACCATGTTCCAGGCACTTTAAGAGAAGCTTCTTGGTCCACTACAGGTGTTCTGCAAGTAAATACCCATCTGTGTCATTAATTCATGTTCAAACTGGTTATATGAAAAGTTTCAGGGAAATAATTCCTAGAAGTCCGGTTGCGATAGACCTCAAAATTTCTTCTTTCCCAGCTATCTGTACTCTTAAGTTTCATTGTGATTTAAAAAAAAACCTCCAAGATAGATACACCTCCTGCATCTAATTATTATTACACAGAAGCTGTACGAAGCTTGTTCAAAGATACAGAAATGTCTGCAGTACTACAGCTCTATCTGACACTATTGCAAGCAAATTTTGAAGTCTTGGAAGCAAAGTCAGAAGCTCTGCTGGTCTTCAGCATGAGAGCTCTCTCACGGCAGGGGAGAGGAAAGGAGGAGAAGAAGAATTAAGCTGTTATGACTGGTCTTTCTTCAGAGAGAACGGTCAGTTGCTGGCATCTCAGAAAAAGCTGTTGTGTTGTGCAGGAAGTCCTAAAGTAGAAGCTGGTATAATCTCAGTATATCAGGCATAGAATTTTGTATCATCCAGGACAAATTGAAAAGTTTTATTACATTTTAATTTATAATCTGTTTGCTTACTGTAGCTTTTTTACTAATTTCTTGGATGAAACATGCATTGTGCAGTCTACATCAAAAATGTAACAGGCTTTTCACAGAGGTGGTTACGTTCTTAGCCCACTGTAACTATAAACCTAGCATTTAAATATGACCTGTCCTTCCTTAAACACCCTGAAAGTGATATTTAAGAATCTGACAAATCCAAGTTTTGGAGTCTTCTATAGTTGCTTCTTCCATTCTTCCAGATTTTGGATCCCTTCCACTTGGCCTCTTCATACTTGATCTGCATGTTTGTGAGAATATTGGTGGTTTCTATTTTTTCTAGTACAATTTTTCCAAGTACATCTCATTTGGGTACAGATACTTTGGGTGCATAAATATGAGTTTCCACATAGCAGGAAATCTTTGTAAACTGAGTCCCATTAGTTGGGATTTGTGTTTACTTATTTTAGATGACGAAAAAAATGAGGCTTGTGCTTGACCACCTGCTTGTATTCTCATTTCAACTTATGATTCTGAGTTTGTGCACTACCAAGAAAATGAGGTTTGTCAGAGAAAAATAAACAGGACCCAGATCTCCTAACAGGTATTTCCTTAAACACAGAGAAGCACAACCTGATTTATTAGGGCCTCTCTCAGACTAAATTCCAGTTGCCTAAAGGTCCTCGTCTTCCTTCATCTTTATCTCATTAGGAAAATTGTTCTTTCCTCCCAGCCAGGAACTTAGCTAAAATTAATTCATCACCTTCAGGCCATATTAGTATGATTTCTTCTGTAGTTGAACATGAAGATGATGCCCAGACTCTGTCTGATACAAAATATGTTTGCTTTGCCACCTCCCTATGCCAGTTCAAAGCTAAATTCCTATTGGGGAAGAAGCAGTTAGTGGCTCAAGACTTTATTATCCTGCAAACTGGATTTTGGCTGATGAATTACCACTACGGTTGTAATGATCTTGGAGATGTAGATAAGAGCTGAGAACAAAGCTGCTTCACAAAGATTGCGGTCAGGGAATTGAATTCCAGAGCAAAGAAAATGAATTAAAAGGAAAAAAGATGCCTCAAGACAGAAGAATGCCTTCCTCTCAAATAGAAACACAATTTTTGATAGGAGAACAAAGCAGCACTAGCATAAACTTTGTCTACCAGTCCCTATCAAAGACAAGTAGCCTCAATTGAAGAGAGGATTACATTAATAAACTTCTAAAATTCAAAGTCTAAATCTGTATTATAAGCCGGAAAACTAATGATAAGAGCTTGTGTTAAGTTTCATTGGTCTTTTGCTGTTCGTTTAATGTGCAAAATCCCCAGATGCTAAAAAACAAGTAAATTCTAGGGGAAGGGCTAGAAGGAGCTCAAACTCGCTTGTAACCTAAGAACAAAACCTGTGGTGTGTGTTGAAGGATCAGAATTGTTGACAAGTTATATAATAAATAATTTGCACCATGTCTGATCTTGAAAATCCAACATCCTATTCAGTCTCTATAATTTTTGGAGTGCAAAAATAATTTCCCTATACAGTCTTGTACATGGTAACATCTTTACTGTTTAACACCTTTGGAAAATTATTTTCTGGGAGATATATATGTAGTTTTGTAACCTCTGAGTGAAAGGATACTTGATTCCAGATGTACCTGGAACATTTTGTATAAATAAGATTTTTAAACAGTCTTAAGTAGCAATTTCTTAATGAAAAAACATGATTGGGCTAATTCTTGGTTTATTTTCTATATCATGCTGGAGGATCCTGATTAAAGGATTTTAACAAAGGAGTTTATTAAGGCGTTTAACAAAACCTAGTCAGAATACCTAATAAGCATTGGAAATGCCTTTTCTGTTCCTCTTGCCCTTTTTCCTCCTTGTGTTCCTCATTATTGAAGTGCATCAGGTGTGCAGATGATTACTTGTAGGACGTTTATTATTGCAGTTGCAATTTGGTATGTCTTTTAAGGTCTGAGTTCCTCCCCAAAGTGAGTATGCTTTATTAAATAATAATGCATCTTTAGGGAACACTTTTATTCAGATATACTTCCTCCTTAGGAGGACCAGTCCTGTCATAATTATGCTATTGTGGATATAAACCAGCTTAAAATCTCCAGGTAGTGAAGAGCGACGTATCTCGCTGAAGTTGTATCTCAGTTCCTGTTGAAAGGAGAGAGGCTTTTTACCTTTCTGCCACTTTCTGCTTCTTTCCTTCCCTGCCTCAGTGCCAAAGCACTCTTGTGCTGGTCAGGGAGAACTGGTTGGCAGTGGTGGATGTTTCTGGCCTCTCTTCTGGCTGAAATTGCATGCAACTCTTGTAGTTTTTTGCATTCTTTAATCGTTGTCTTCTGTCAAAAGGTGTGCGTGGCGTCACCTCTCAAGTTTTTCTAAACCTCCACTGGGAGCCTGTAGTGACAGGATGGGAATTAGAAAAATGTGGCATTAACCTCATGTTTGACAGTAGTATAACTTCAAATTTTACTACTTTTCTGCACACCCATTGTGTAAATTACTCATCTGAGGCAAAGTGACTTTATATTAATGCTTACTATAATAATGCTTTAATATATAATGCTTTATATTAATGCTTAATAGCTACTAATTGTGGAGATATTTGGGAGATGAACTATTGTAAAATTTTAGAAATACAGGAATCGGAGACCTCAAGGGTGTCTCTTAAGTGCAAGAGCAAGACCAAATACAGTTGGGTAAGCATATTTTAGCAGTGGATTGAACAAGCCTATACATTGTTTCAGTTTGTCGA